TAGCTTAAGCATTTCCCTAAAATGGAAATGTTTCTCCATGAGGCTCGTCTCAATGGGTTTTGGAGAGGGTTGGTGGGGAATAGGGAAACTGAATTAATTTACAAGATCTGACAAGTTCACAGACTTGCCATCATGCACTTACATTGGCAGCACTATAGAACCAACTTGGTGAGTTTTTATAACTTTGGTTGATCAGTGTCCCACAGCTGTGTTCATGTTGATGTGTGGCAGTATCTTGCTGAGTGGGGTTCATTATTGTTGTTGTATGTTTTTTTGTGCCATTGCGATAATGTCAGAGTTTGAATTAGAGAAATGAACAAGCATTACATTTCTTGTTAAACTTGGCAAGAGTGGAAGTGAAACAGGGACATGCCAGTCCAAGTTAATGGGGATAATGCCATGAAGAAAACGATAGTGTCCCATTGGATTAAATGTTTTTCTGAGGGGAAAGAAAGTGTCACTGAGAAGAGAGGTCAGGACAGCCAGTAACGAGCAGAACAGACAGAAACATTGCAAAAACTTGTCAAACTGAATGTCAAAATCATCTGCTGACTATGAGAAGCATAGCAGACCAAATAAACATCAATAGAGAAACAGGAAAATCTTGACATGAGAAAGTGTGCAAAAAATGGTCCTGAAGGAGCTCTTGCATCCAGACAATGCACCAACTCACACAGCACTGTCTGCGAGGGAGTTTTTAGCCAGTAAACAAATAACTCCTCACCTCCCTCCTCACCTGATCTGGCCCCCAGTGACTTTTTAATTTACCTGAAGATAAAGGAAATATTGAAAGGAAGACATTTTATGACATTCAGGACATCGAGGGTAATACAATGACAGCTCTGATGGTCATTCCAGAAAAAGTGTTCCAAAATTGCTTTGATGGGTGGACTAGGCACTGGCATGTGTGCATAGCTTCCCAAGGTGAGTACCTTGAAGGTGACCATAGTGATATTCAGCAATGAGATATGGAGAACCTTTTCTCTTTCTTTCTTTTTTTTTTTTTGAGTCAGAATCTCACTTGTCACCCAGGCTGGAGTGCAATGGCATGCTCATGGACACCGCAGCCATGGCCTGCTGGACTCAGGTGACCTTTCTGCCCCAGCCTTCCAAGTAGCTGGAACTACAGGCGTGCACTACCACGCCCGGCTTATTTTTTTATTTTTTACTGTAGAGACGAGGGATTACCAAGTTGCCCAGGATGGTCTCGAACCCCTGAGCTCAGGCAATCCTCTCATCTGGCTTCCCAAACTGCTGGGATTATAGGCTTGAGCCACCGTGCCCAGCCAGAACTTTTTCTAGGAAGAGATTGTGAACTTAATTGTCAAGCCTCATATGAGGATTCAATGATCCCAGTTAGAGTGGGAGCATAGTGTTGTTACTATTGATTCTCTGTACTGTGACTTCTTTATCCTTCCTCTAGGCCTCTACTGTAGTTCTCTGGTCTCAGAGTACTTCCTGTCCCACTCTGGGGCGTGCACGACTTCTGGATCCCTGGCATGTTCCCTGTAGACTGTGGGGCCAGGAGCCTGCCCCAGGCCCAGGCATCCACTGCTCTCCTCTGCCAATGGCCATACTGCACTGGGGCAAGTGCTGTGTTGGTTATGGCGTCCACATGGACTTCCCGGACTTCCGTGGAGAGCAAACAAATACGCCCCTGCTTTCGGCCTTCCTGTGGGCACATCTGACCAGCCTCCATGCCGAGTTTTCAACCTGAAGGAGGAAGGCCAGGACACACGTGTCTGTCCTCTTGCTCCTGCAGCCACCAGAATGGAAGGGGTGACATTTTCACATCTGTATCTCAGTTAAGGAGTTCCTCTGTGTGATAATCTACTCCTTCCAAATAGCAAGAACCCTGTACAAGACAGGGTTCAGCCGGGCTCGGTGGCTCAGTCTATAATCTCACGCCTTTGGGAGGCTGAGGTGAGTGGATTGCCTGATCACCTGAGTCCAGCAGGCCATGGCTGCGGTGTCCATGAGCATGCCATTGCACTCCAGCCTGGGTGACAAGTGAGACTCTGACTCAAAAAAAAAAAAAAGAAAGAAAGAGAAAAAGTTCTCCATATCTCATTGCTGAATATCACTATGGTCACCTTCAAGGTACTCACCTTGGGAAGCTATGCACACATGCCAGTGCCTAGTTCACTCACCTGGGCAACTTAGCGAGACCTCATCTCTACAATAAATAAAAAAATCAGCCGGGCGTGGTAGCGCATGCCTGTAATTCCGGCTACTTGGAAGGCTGAGGTGGAAGGGTCGCCGGAACCCAGCAGGTTGAGGCTGCGGTGTTTGGGAGCATGCCACTGCACTCCAGTCTGAGTGACAGAGTGAGACTCCAACTCACACACACACACACAAAAAAAGACAGGGTTCAAGAGAGAAATCAGCCGGGCTCGGTGGCTCAGCCTGTAATCCCGCGCCTTTGGGAGGCTGAGGTAAGTGGATTACCTGAGCCCCCGGGTTCGAGACCCGCCTGGGCGGCGAGACCTTATCTCTACCATAAATCAAAAAATCAGGCGGGCGTGGTAGCGCACGCCTGTAATTCCGGCTACTCGGAAGGCTGAGGCGGAAGGATCGCCGGAGCCCAGCAGGTCGAGGCTGCGGTGGCCGGGAGCGGCCACTGCACTCCAGTCTGGGCGACAGAGTGAGACTCCAACTCAAAAAAAAAAAAAAAAAAAGAGAGAGAAATCAATTCACCAATGAACAAGATCCAAAGATGTCGTCCCTTTTATGCTAATGCAATCTGCTTATCTCACTATTTTGGTTCCTTTCTCCTAACATTTACTGAGGATGAAGGCACTGAACAGACGCGTGCCTTATTCTCATCCTCTGCTTTAAGATAGAGCAGAGTGGAGAGGTCCATCAGTTGTGGAAGCCCTTTACGTGAGAGTGTGAAGTCCATCTCCTGTCCTTTAAAACCTCACATCAGGGTTCAAGACCCGCCCTGGCAACTTGGTGAGACCTCGTCTCTACAAGAAATCAAAAATTAGCCGGGTGTGGTAGCGCGCTCCTATAGTTCCCACTACTTGGAAGGCTGAGGTGGAAGAATCGCCAGAGCCCAGTGGCTGTGGTGACCAGAAGTGTGCCACTGCCCTCCAGTCTGGGCAATGGAGTGGGACTCTGATTCAAATAAATAAATAAATAAAAATAAAACCTCACATCAGAAAGGCCTAGAAGTCTTTGCCCAAATTTTCCCAGTGAGAGAGGGCATAGCTTTCCTTGGAAATATCTGAGGAAGTAGGGTGGGAGCATGAGTTTTCCCTGGAATAGGATTCATGTTATCAAGAAATAGGAATTTGCATGCTGGGTGTGGTGGCTCACACCTGAAATCCCAGCACTTTGGGAGGCTGAGGTGGGATTATAGCTTGAGGCTAGGAGTTGGAGACCAACCTGGGCAACATAGTGCGATCCTGTCTCTAAAAAAAGAAAATAAAATTAGCTGGGCATGGTAATGTGTACTATGTGCCTACTGTCCCAGCTATTTGGGAGACTGAGACAGGAGGGTCACCTGAGCCCAGGAGTTCCAGGCTGCAGTGAGCTATGATCATGTCACTGCACTACAATTTGGGATGACAGAGTGAGATTCTGTCTCTTAAAAAAAAAAGAAAGAAAGAAAAGAAAAAATATGGATTTATTAAGGCCAGCAGGCTCTCTCCTCCATCCCTTTTCCCTTTTCCCCAAAATAAAATATATTTTGGTATAAAAATCCAGATATCTGAACCACTGCCATTAGACACTTTGAGACCTGTATAGAAAATGTGGAGGTCTTGGATCTCGCTCTTTCACCCAGGCTGGAGTGTAGTGGCATAATCACGACTCACTGCAGCCTCAACCTCCTGGGCTCAGGCGATCCTTCCACCTCAGCCTCCTGAGTAACTGGAGCTACAGGTACTCACCATTATGCCTGGTTATTTTTTTGTTTGTTTTCTTTGTAGAGTTGAGGTCTCGCTAGGTTGCCCAGGCTGGTCTCAAACTTCTGGGCTCAAGTGATCCTCCTGATTCAGGCTCCCAAAATGCTGGGATTACAGGCATGAACCGCTGCACCTGGCCTAACTGACAACCCTCTTGATTTCAATACTTATATTGTTGGGGTGAAACTGACAGACAAGGATTTGTTCAAACTGTATGTAGAGAATGCAACATTCCACATGATACCCAGAACCTTGAGCTGGATATGCCGTGCAGATCAAGGGTGGGAAGCAAACCAGCGGTCCCGATTGATAAGAAGTCTTCCTGGAGGAAAGGTGTTTGGATTCCGATTCCACAGAATGGGTAGGCGTGGCTGATAGAACTAGGACTAGCCCTCAGGAGTCTGTTCCCCTCCAAGTAAAGGGTGGGAAGACCCTGTTCTTGGATGTGCCTGCGTGAGAGAGGGTACAGGCTGGGCTCCCGGGCCTGCGAGTGGGGAGGGAGGCCGTCTGGCAGGAGCTGGGCATTTGGTATGCTGGGCACTTTGCAGAGGAAGCTAACGTGGTCACAAGGAGATGATACTTAGGAGATGGTCACAATGGCTGAGTCCTAAAGAGAAAGCTGGAGCTGGAGATTCCTGGAGGGAGATGATAGGAAAGCTGGTTCTTGTCATCCAGTCTGGACAGGACATGTGGCAAACGATACAGCACAAGGTCACGGTTCAGAACGTGGGCTTTGGGGCCTGCCCCTACCTTGTGACCTTGAGTGAACCACATAACTTCTCTGAGGCTCAGTTTTCTCATGTGTAAAGTGCTGATCATAATGATGCTTACCTCAGTGGTTTGTTGTGTTACAAGAAATGATGCCTACGAATGCATACCCACAGCACAGGGAGGCCCCATAACTGAGGCCACCATGAAGTTCTCAAGATCACTGTTGTGAGTACAGAGAGGGAAACTGCCAACTGCTACCCGAATATAAGCTGTTACTCTTAGTTTGATGTTAGGTTAGATAGGTTGGAAATAGTTGGAGGGAATGGCCTTTACTGTGAGACAACTATGAAGGATCAGGAGTGGATATAGACAAGGAACATGATGGAAAGTGCTAAAGCTGGAACCCCCAAAGAGCCAGAAATGAGGCTGGGCAATCAAGAAGAAACAGATGAAGGTGACACAAACGGTAAGGGGGAAGAGAAGGGGGTTGCCTGGGAGCCCTGTGTATGTGGAGAGTAGGCAGCAGTGTGTTGAACCAAGCAGAGATGGTTGTGGTTAAAAAAAAAAAAAGGATGTAGATGATACATGTAATCACATGCTGATGGGCCTTCTGTTGAATGAGAGTGTTCAAATTAACATGTCATTCGTCAGACTTCACTCATGATCTCTAACAGTGACATCAGGGCTGGGGCTCGGTAGTTCAATCTGTCATCCTAGCACTTTGGGAGGCCGAAGCAAGTGGATTGCCTGAGCCCACGGGTTCGAGACTAGCCTGGGCAACTTGGTGAGACTTCATCTCTACAATAAATCAAAAATTAGCCGGGCATGGTAGTGTGTGCCTATAGTTCTGGCTACTTGGAAGGCTGAGGCGGAAGGATTGCCTGAGTCCAGCAGGTCTATGCTGGGGTGACCGTGAGTGTACATGCCACTGCACTCCAGCCTGGGCAACGGAGTGAGACTCTAACTCAAAAACAAAAACAAACAAACAAACAAAAAACTGTGACATCAGTCTTCCTTCGAGTAATGATAATGATTTTTTGTTTCTTTCTTTGCATTTTTGTTTTATTTACTTTGTTGTTCAGAAAGCCCATTACAGGTTCTGCCCAGCAATGCGACTCTCCTGGTCCCAAAGTTCTTGGACACAACTCAGGCCAAAGAGAAGGCCTTTGTCCTTGAGGTCAGCAAAACACTCCATATGGCTGCAGAGGAGTCTGAGGTCCCACAGCAGGGAAGTGACCTCCCCAAGTCCCCAGAAATAAGCCTCCAACCCAAGGAGGGTGACATACCCAAGTCCCCAAAAGAAGCCATTCGGTCCAAGCAGGACAACATCCCCAAGTCCCCAGCAAACACTATTCAACTCAAGCAGGGAAATATACTCAAGTCCTCAGCAAAAGTCATCCAGCCCAAGCAGGGTGACATCCCCAAGTCCCCAAAAGAAACCATCCAGCCCAAGGAGGATGACCTTTCCAAGTCTCCAGCAGCCACTCAGTCCAAGCAAGGCAATAGCCCTAAGTCCCCAGAAGACAGCATCCAGCCCAAGGAAGATGACCTCCTCAAGTACCCAGAAGAAGTCATTCAACCTAAGCAGGGCAACATCCCCATGTCCTCAGCAAATAACATCCATCCAAAGCAGGGTGACATCCCCAAGTCTCCAGAAAAATCCATCCAGCCCAAGCAGGGGACTATCCCCAAGTCCTCAGCAGACACCATCCAGCCCAAACAGGTCAACATACTCAAGTCCTCAGCAAAAGTCATCCAGCCCAAGCAGGGCAATATTCCCAAGTCTGCAACAAAAATCACCCAGCCCAGGCAGGGGGGCATCCTCAAATCCCCAAAAGAAGCCATGCAGTCCAAGGAGGATAACCTCCTTAAGTCTCCAGAAGAAACCATTCAGCTTAAGGAGGGCAACATCCCCAAGTTCTCAGCAAACACCACCCAGCCCAAGCAGAGTGATATCCCCAAATCCCCAGAAGACACCATCCAGCCCAAACAGGTTGAGTTCCCCAAGTCCCCAGAAGAAGTCATCCATCCCAAGAAGGACGACCTTCCCAAGACCCCGGAAGATGCCATCCAACCCAAGGAGGATGACTTCCCCCAGTCCCCAGAAGAAACTCTCCAGTACAAGGAAGGTGACATCTTGAAGTCTGAAGAAGAAACAATGGAGCCCCTGGAGGAGGATCTGGTGAAAGTGATCTTGAGCAAGGAGGACTTCGAGGCAGCGCTCAAGGAAGCCGGCGAGAAACTGGTGGTCGTGGACTTCTCGGCCACATGGTGCGTGCCTTGCAAGACCATCAGGCCGCTCTTCCATTCCCTGTCTGTGAAACATGAGGATGTGGTGTTCCTGGAAGTGGATGCTGACTTCTGTGAGGAGGTGGTGAGAGACTGTGCCGTTATGTGCGTCCCCACCTTTCAGTTTTATAAAAAAGAAGAAAAGGTGGGTGAGTTTTGTGGTGCCCTTAAGGAAAAACTTGAAGCAATCATTGCAGAATTAAAGTAGTCATATATTCTGAAAACATTGTACCCAGTCAGTTGTTTATAGCTTGTGTTTTTTAAAAAAGTGTTTGCAAAAATGATCAGGTATAACAAAAGTGTCCAAATGGCCCTGCTTGTACGTTATAAACTCCACCCTGTTCAAAAAACAATCCAAGCAATAAAACACATTGTGACTGTTTTTTGTTGGTAAGAGAGTGTGAAATTAGAAATTCCCTTGGTGGAGGGTGGTCATCCTGCTGTGTCCTATTTTTCAGTATTGATTTTTTTCACTCCTCTTGAAAATTCTACTCATTTAGTGTTTGCAGCAATTTTAGATAATTTTTCTATGAAAGTACCTGATTGAAAGTTGAATGACTCACAACATCAATAAGGGTATCTGATCTCAAATCAGGCAAAGTGGGGATCAAAGGGAGGCCAAAATTTTACCTATATGATGACCACTTGTATACCTAACCCTGACTATACCCCACATCTTTAAAAGAAAAAAAGAAAATAGAAAAAGAAAGATGAATGGCAATTTCTTTTCTCATGTTCACACTTTTCTCATGTTCATACTTTTCTCATGTTCACATATCTTTGGGGATTCTGATAAGATATTTTTGGACATAAAGAATCTCAAATAGGTGGCGCTCAGTGGCTCAGCCTGTAATCCCAGCACTTTGGGAGGCCGAGGCGAGTAGATTGCCTGAGTCTGCAGGTTCAAGACCAGACTGGGCAAGACCTTGTCTCTATAATAAATCGAAAATTGGTCAGGCGCGGTAGCACACGCCTGTAGTTCCAGCTACTTGGAAGGCAAAGGCAAAGGACTGCTAGAGCCCAGAAAGTCGACGCTGGGGTAGCCATGAGTGTTCCACTGCACTCCATCCTGGGTGACAGTGAGACTCCAACTCAAAAAAAAAAAAAAAAGAATCAAAAATATTCATATGTCTAACTAACCTCCTTCTTGTGCTGGGAGTGCTTTGGAGGTCTCTCAGTGGGTTCTCCAACACGTGATGTGTCAGTAGCAGAGCTGACACCAAGGCTATGTTTTCAGATTTCATGTCCAGGGCTCCATCTGCAAATCCATGCTGACAAAATCTGAAACAGAACTCAAAACTTCAGGCTTCTCAGAGGTTTAAGTCTGTGGGATCTTTGGTGCCATTATGACATCATTGACCACACGGCAAAATTCCTACTTTGTTTCTCTGATGACTGGGTTCCCCATACCTGCTTCCAGATGTCTCTGAGCCCAAATCCAAGTCTGAACCACAGATGGAGGCTTGGTCTAGAGTAGTTTTCAGCTTCATTGAGATGTAATTGGTATATAAGAATTGCACATATTTCATGTAGGTGACAAGATGAGTTTGAACGTGTGCACACACCCATGATACCATCATCATCATTATCAAAATAACTGACACATTCATTACTTCCAGAAGTTTTCTCGTGTCCCTGTTCTTTTTTTTTAATGGTAACAACACTTAATGTGACATCTACCCTCTTAACACATTTTTAAGTGTCCAATACCATATTGTTAACCACAGACACGATGTTGCACAGTAGACTTCTAGAATACATTCATCTTGTGTGACTAAATCTTCATACCCATTGCTCAACAGTTCCCCACCCTCCCCTTTCCAGTAATCACCATTCCATTTTTTTCTGATGCAGAGTGCTTTTTTTTGTGTGTGTGTGTTGGAGTCTCACTCTGTCGCCCAGACTGGAATGGCCATTCCCGGCCACCACAGCTTCGACCTGCCAGGCTCCGGTGATCCTTCCGCCTTCCAGCAAGTAGCTGGAACTACAGGCGTGCGCTGCCACGCCCAGCTAATTTTTTGATTTATTGTAGAGATGAGGTCTCGCCAAGTTGCCCAGGCGGGTCTCGAACCTGCGGGCTCAGGCAATCCACTCACCTCAGCCTCCCAAGGCACGGGATTACAGGCTGAGCCACCCAGCCCGGCTCAGAGTGTTTTTTAAAACATTTAACTAGGTGCCAACATTTTAAAAACCAGGATTTTCTTTAAGATCTAGATTTCTAGCTTTTCTGGGAAAATGATAAGATCTGGCAATACTAGTGTGCATTATCTCAAGAAAATAAATCTAGCTGGGCGTGGTGGCGTGCATCTATAGTTCCAGCTATTTGGAAGGATCTCCTAAGTCCAGCAAGTCGAAGCTGCAGTGGCCGTGAGCATGCCACTGCACTTCAGCCTGGGCAACAGAGTGAAATCTCAACTCAAAAAAAAGAAAAAAAAAAAAAGGAAAACAAATCTAATCTTAGAGGCTGAGAGGTAGCTCTGTCCGCGGGGCGTGCCCTCTGCAGTCCTCTATCGCAGAACCTGGCAGGCTTCTTCATTTATCCAGTTAAGCTGCAACCCTTATGTGAGGCTGAGAGCAGGATTGTCTCATCTCCCCACTGAGCACCTAAACGGACTGTCCTTAGTGGTTCCCCAATTATAGGCTTGTTTACACCATAAACAAACACCTAACAACAGCAAACAAAATATCAAATACTTGGCCTTTTTTCTAAAAAAAGATGTGGAATAACCTAAAAAAGTGTTAATGATAAGGCTAACAAACCAGTAAGAGGAAATTAGAACCATGAAATGAATAATACGTTGGCTTTGAGGGCTGACATAATTGCTCTGATTGAGTGGCACATTTTGTTTCGAGCTTCTTGGCAACCAGGAGAGAAAAGGAAAATGCAGTAATACCCAGACGTCATTACTCAAAAAGTGCAAACTTCAGAATTTGAAAAAGGAGTTGAATTTTCCCTTAAATAAATTCCTCAATGAAATCTCTCTTCTGGGACCTTAAGTTTGAGACATCGAATGATGGATGACGCTCTTGGCAAGATTTTTTAATAATACATTCAGGACAATTTTTTATATGGCTATTCCTGGTAATAATTTTTAGTGAAAGCCAAGGCTGTAATGGCAAAGCACTTTACAGTGAATGAGAGGATTCCAGATTCGAGGTGTATTGTATTTTCATGTAAGTGGATTTGAAGTGATGGTTCTTTTTCTCTGATAGAGAGACCTTCTTCTGACTCAAATCTGTTCCTATTTTCCATATTGTGCAAGCCTGGCTTAGCATAACTCTATCAGTTTAGACCCATAGGCCTAGACTAGAATGAATTAAACCAATCTTTGTGCAATCAGATCTGTTTGGACAACTCAGTGAGTCCCATAACACGTCAGACTGTGCAGTTTGAAGAACCAGGGACCCCAAATCTCACTTCAGTGACGTATACCAACTACTTTTTCTGGGACTGTAGTATAAAAGACATTTCTGTCAAAGGTCTCTTTTTATATCTTGTTACTAAGTGACGTCTTGGACAATGAGCTTAAATCTTAAAAATTATTGTGATAGTAGATTTTTGAGGTGATTTAAGTTTCTTAATGTAAGTCAAGGGAAGAAGACAAAGCACAACTCTAGGAAGGTAATTCTGCAAGCGTGAGAATAGAAAAAACACAAAGCACGTGTGTGGCTCTCTGATGATCTAGTTTAATCCAGGGATAAAACCTAAACTACCAGAGAATCAATTTATGCCCTTCAAACTACCTACTGTGAATACCATTGCTCTTGACTGTTTGTATAATAGTTGAACAACAGCCAGGTCAAAGTTATGTTCTCTGGCAGAAAGCTTGAGTATGAACATTCTATTTTGCTGAGTAAGGAAGAGGCGTGCACTTAAAAAAAGAATCAACCAAGCAATTGGTTTCATCTCTAATATTTAGCATAAGGGATAAATAGGAAGCATTTCTTTTTTCTTTTTTTGGAGTCGAAGTCTCACTCTGTCGCCCAGGCTGGAGTGCAGTGGCACGCTCACAGCCACTGCAGCCTCAACCTGCTGGGCTCAGGGGATCCTTCCACTTCAGCCTTCCAAGTAGCTGGAACTACAGGTGTGCGCCACTACGCCCAGCTAATTTTTTTTTTTTTAATTGTAGAGATGAAATCTCACCAAGTTGCCCAAGCTGGTCCTGAACTCCTGGACTCAGACAATCTTCTTGCCTCCGCCTCCCAAGGTGCTGGGATTAAAGGTGTGAGCCACCATGCCCAGCAATGGGAAGTATTTCTAATGAGAAGGAAAATTCCAGATAATCATATTGGCTGTAAATAATGATAATCTAACTAAAGCCTTAAGAATCAATGGAAAATCTGTTAGAATTAGCAAGAAAACTCAACAAAGTGGCAGTAATCACAGTAATATCAAAAAATCAATAGTTACCATGTGATTTAGTGACAAATAATTGGGAATCATTACAGAAAAAGGTCTCATTTTCAAAAGCAGCAAAATAAATGTCTATCAATAGTCTTCACAAGAACAATAAGAATGACTAAGACTAAATTTAAATTTTGTTCGTTTGTTTGAGTTGGAGTCTTACTTTGTTGCCCAGACTAGAGTGCAGTGGCACACTCACAGTTACTGCACCCTTGACCTGCTGGGCCTGCTGGACTCAGGTGATCCTTCTGCCTCAGCCTTCCAAGTAGCTGGAACTACAGGTGTGCACCCTCATGCCCAGCTAATTTTTTTTTTTTTTTTTTTTTTTGATTGTAGAGATGAGGTCTCACCAAGTTGTCCGGGCTGGTCTCAAACCCATGGGCTCAGGCAATCCTCTCACCTTGACCTCCCAAAGCACTGGGAATATAGGTATGAGCCACTACGCACAACCAAATCTAAATGTTTTGAGAGAAGTATACAACACGTAGATCTGAATAAAGTGAGACGTCAATTTTTCTCACTGGAGAAAAAGATGGAAAGATGTTGAGTCTCTCCATCTATTAGCAAACGTAATATAATTCCAAACGATATCTCAGTGGGATATTTGGGAGAACTTTACAAAATACTTAAAATTTGCTGAGCATGATAGACAAGACTATGTAGGAAAAGTCTTAAATGAGAAGTAATTAAGAAAAACATATCCTATCAGATATTTAAGTGTATAATTGGTATAGTAATTATAAGACAATGATATTAGTGAAAGAAAAGAGAGCTATACAACATAACAGTAACCAAAACTCAGACCTTGATATATAAGAC